TTTTTTTTTTTTTCCCCCCCCCCCCCCCCCCCCCCCCCATCGTTCTTTAGTACTCACCAGGCAAACATGTAAGAAGGCCAGAAAGAAAGAAAGAAAGAAAGAAAGGAAAATGTATACAGAGAAAGAGGAAGACAAAAAAAAGCCTGTCTCCCCTCTCATCTCCCTCTTGTTCCCTTCGCACAACGCCCGCGGTTGTATGCTTCCACCAGCCTTTCCCCCCCCTTCGAAAATTAAGACTACTATATCAAGCAGCGAGCGTTTCGAAAAACCGAACTATTCACATATCCACATACACAATCACATACTTCCAAAAAAAAAGGGGGGGAGGGGTAGATATCTAGGAGGGAGAAAAGGAAAAGATTGGTAAGACAGGAATGGGTTATGCAGTGGAAAGGAAGAAAGGAAGCAAGGAAGGAAGAAAAGAGGGGAAAGAATTTGGATGGGAAAGGAAGATAGGAAAGAAGAGAAGAAAAAAATCAGACAGAAGAAGGAAACTGTTCGAAGACTTTTTTTTTCGGGCGGGCGGGGGGGGGGGGGAATTCTTGTGCTTCTTCTTTCGGATGGGATGATGCATCATAACGTTGCCGTCCTTTTTTTTCCCTCCGAAGGCCGTATTTTTGAATTTCTTTTTTTCCTTCTCTTCTTTCGCCATCTGCATGATGCGATGCAGGTAAGCAAGCAAGCAAGTAAAGGAAGATCACCATACATGGATACCAATGCAATGGATGGCCACATAGCAACATGGCAAGCACAGCACAGCAGAGCACAGCCAGTCATGGGCATAATAGCAACGCCTCACGCTTCTCTTGCCCAAAAACAAGACTAGTAAATTCCAAACTGGAAAAGAGGCAGACGAAAAAAAGAAATGGTCCAGTAAATTCAAACCAAGTAATGTGGGGGGGGGGGGCCTCCGACACATTCGGACCTCCGACTTTTGAAAGAGAGAGAAGAGAAAGAAAAAGGAAGGGAAAAGGAAAAATAAAATTAAAAACGCCCAAACTAGGGATGACTTGCAGTTGAATGCTGCTTGCCAAAACCCAAACCCACTTTGCGCGCTTTTGCATGCGATGGGGGGGGGGGTGCCGCGCGCCGCGTTTCCCACTCACACATGCACACCCACTTTCCCTCTCCACTTGCCTTAGTTCCGCGATGCAGCATTAAAAAAAAGGTGGCTTTCGCAAAAAAAAAGGTGGTGTGGGTAGTCTGCAACGAAACCCGGTTAATGCACATCATCAGCGGGATGGGGGGGGGGTGTAGGCGCGGAAGCACGATCAATCGCAGACAGCAAAGAAAAGCGAAAATGGGGAGGGGCGGAGGGGCGCGCTAAAACGCATCAAAGACAAAGCACAGATGTGTAGAGAGACAGAAAGAGAGACGTGTGCATGCTGCTGTGTGGGTGGTGTGGATGGGTGGGTATGTGTGTGTGTGTGAACATAGAACGGCACCAGTGATGCAGGTACTTTCACACACATATTGACACGCAGATACAATAGAAAAGCAACAAACTTTGGGAGGGGGAGGGGGCTTGCTTGTCCTGTACGCAAAGTAGCCAGCCAGCATGGAAAATGCCGTTTGTCCCCAGACTATTTTAGCGGGTTTTCTCGCATACGCTGCATGTTCAGTTGGTGCAGCGCGCCACGCTTGCGCCATGCCGTACCGATTTTTGTGACGCGACGCCAAAAAAACCAGCCACCGCCATGGCGGGTGCGGAGAGCGACGACTACGACGACGACGACGCCTACAGGCATGTAGTATGTGACGAATGTAGTATGTGACGAGAAAAGTAGGACCGATTGAGTTGGAGCTTTTTACGGCGGGTGCAGTGGTGGGGAGGGGGAGGGGGAAGCCAAAGCAGACCGATGGCGTGGTTGCTTGTCCCCAAGCCAAATGGCCTGTCAATTTCCACCGACATGCGCTCGATTGTTTGTCAGATGCACGTCTATATGTATGCGTGTGGCGTAGTTCGGATTTGCTGGCCGGGTCGGGTGGAAGGATCAAAGGTGGATGATTGACGGCTAATGTAACCAGACGCGAGGATGCGGCGCGGTGGAGAGCAGAGCGCATGTCTTTGAGGTCACGCTGCTTTGCGTGCATGCAGTGCTATGGTGGTTGGAGGGCCCATTGGCTGAAGATTGCGAAAGGTAGTGGCTGCATGCTGCTCTGACTCGTTGGGGGGGTTGCGTGTTTGCAATGCCGTGGGCGTGGCTTGACCAGGGTTGTAGTCTAGCTGTGTCAGTGTATACAGAGTCAGTATCGACAAGTGGGCAGAAAAGTCAGTGTCTGCATCGCCTTCATCGGCCACTGTGGAGTCTGTTGTTTTCTGATGCGGCGGAACGGGAGGTACGGTACGCTGGGGGTGGCTGGCGAAAGAAGCGGACAGGCCGATCCGACAGGGTTCCTGTTTGCGGCAACGCGTCCAAGTAATGTGACGTGATGGTTTCTGCAAGCTGCTGGTGCCTGTGGGAGGGTATGCCTCGGAGAGCAGTGGTAGAGAGAGAGAGAAAGCCGTTGTCCACATGCGCAGCGCTGCACATGGTTGCTTCGCGTGGCAGAGATTGGGACTTGGGCCATGGGATTGCGGACAAGCGTTGCAACCTTGGCTTACATACTGGCGGTACATGGCAGGGTTCAAGCGCCGATGAACTGTCAGACGGCAGCGGCCGATCGTGATGGCGCTAGTGACGTTGATGTCGGCGTGGTGCAAGTCGACGACGACGACGACGACGATAGCATGGCCGTGGTGGTGTGTCGGCCCCCCCGGAACCGTCGCCCAGAGGTCATGGGGGGCTTTGTTGGAGGGATTGGATGGATTGGATGGGACTGGATGGCCTGGATGGCTTGGATAGCCTGGATGGACTGGATGGACTGGACTGGCCCGGACTGGATGCCACAACTGGACCCAGCAGCAAAAAAACCCACAAGACACGCCCGCCTAACCACACGGGGAACACGGCCACCGGGCCCAGATGCGATTGGTGTGGCCTGGCAGGATTGCGAAGCCTGCCCAGGCCACAAGCAAGATGCAACCGTCTGGATGATGCTGTAGCCGTCTGCTTGTGTACGCACAAGTCGTCGTCGTCGCTGCATAGGGCTGCAGCACCGTGTCACTCGACCGTGTGTAGCGCCCCATGTGCCACCATTGTTTCGTGCAACGTCGTAGTGCTTCCTTGGGTCCCAGAGATGTCGAGAGAATCAACTTCGATGAGCCCTCATACGTGCTGCCAACACGAGCGCCGCACGCCTAGCCATGCCCGATACGACTCCTGCATCCACTACGCTGCAGGCTAGTCATCCAACGCACCTCTCTGTCTCTCTCCACACGCAGACCCTTCACCAGAGACCCGCTTTTGCACATGCCCACGCACAGCGGATCCTGCACTCGTGCTCGCTGCTGGCTGGGAATAAGCAAAAGGCACATCTTCTCTCGTAAACCATGTCCCACCCCCACTGCTCATGTACGCCCACTTCCTTATCCTCTTAGTCGGAAACACTCTGCCTGCCTCATACCAATCCTCTTTCAGTAACATGGCCGAGAGGATCATCACCAACCGAGGCTCTTTCTGATAATGCATGATTCACTTCGTCTGAGCGATCGCGGGCCACCGCCTCCAAAACGGGTGCAAGCGCCTTTCCAGAGCAACAGTCAACGGGCCTCCTTCCCAGCTGTGTGGTAGTGGGGAGGGAGAAGGCAAGAAGAAGGAAAAGAAAGAAGAGGAAGAAAAAAAAAGGCAAGTCGGCATGTTCTCACCCTCTCTTGCACCCACAACCCCCCATGTAAAACGAACCGACGGAGGATAATGGGTCCTGGAAAAGCAATTTCCGTTCACCCTCCGCAACATCCTCGCAAAACAAAATCACCATCGTCTGATGCTCCGGGGGGGAGGAGAGGGGAGGGGTTTGAGAGGGACCAAATGCGGCCGTAACATTTGCTGCTTTTCCTTCTCTCATTGTCTCTCTCATCCCTGTCCTGTCTTGCCCAAGTCGCTACAAGACCGTGGAGAAACAAGTGGGGAGCAGATACGCCTGTGCCTGTTTCCTATGCCTCCTCTTTTCCAAGTCCCCACCCAGGCATTCAACCACTCAATGACCGAGGCCGAGAGAGCCGTCCATGTAATGCGTGTGTATGTGCGCACACTCGTCCACCCTCTCCATAACATGCGACAGGCTGTGAAGCACCGTGAGGGCAGACGGGACAGGGTCTGAGCGTCGAGTTGTGCAATCTCGTAGAATTGCTAGTCGGACGGATGCCTGCTGCAAGGCTGTCCTGACTCTCCATGTGTACTGTAATAAGACTGCGCCTCGCTTACACAGACAAACACACAGACAAACACACAGACACTCGGTCGTCTCAAACGTCATTGAGTCTTTATTTGGGGTGGGTGGGGGGTGGGGTCAGGATAAAGTCGCGTTAGGGTAGGGGGGTGGGGAGGCCAAAGGGACCGACGACGGTTCGGCAATTGGAGACATTGTCTGATGGTCGTGGATAATTTGTGCACAAACGCCCGAGGGGAGGGTTTTTTCGATAACACAGCCCCATGTTGATGTTGGTCGAGAGGAAGAGAGGGAGAGAAGTGGGCGACGAGACGCAGGTACCAGGCAAATCGATAATGATAATGGCACCATGGAACGTCAGTGCGTTTTTTTTTTCTTCCCAGTTTTGCGGGTTCACCCCATCCGAACGAACCAATGCTGTGACTTTTTGGGCTGTGCGCCCGCCTCCGCCGTCGCTGATATGTGGAAACGATTGATCCAGGCAACGCATGTTTCGGATCATGCTGGTTAATAGCAGCTTGCCTGCGTGCAATTTGCCCTCTCCACGCCGGGCGCATCCCGAATAAGCGCAGGCAGCGCGCGCCCAAAGACCAGCGGCATGGTTGCGCATGAGAATACCCTTTGCTTCTTCGGGGAAAAACAGACGAGACGCCTCCCGTTGCTGAGGCATGAGCAAAAACGAAACCCTGTTCAAAACATGATTGCGACGTCAACGTTGTCTCGAACGCTTGACACCTAGCTCATGGCGGAGAAAGACATCGACGTAAAACTCCCGCATGGGCCTTGCCTCAAAACTAGCCATCGACAGCAAGGCATCATCATGCGGTGCGGAGGCGCCACGCAAGCAACCAAGGACACACCAGTCTGCCCTGTTCCATTTGCCGACGTGTGCTGGCGGTGAAGTAGCGTTATCTTGAAATTCTGCGTATCCAATTGTCTGCACATGCTATGACAAGCGTAATGCGCGAGCCCCTGATTTGGCCTGCTGCTTCTCCGCCTGGATCGCGATGATCTAATTCCTCCTGTTTCTACAAAGATGACTGACTGAAATGCCCCTATGGAAATGTGTAGAGAAGACGCTCGAAAATGAAAAAAAAAGAAATGTAACAAAACCAAAAGAGAACGGAGAAAAGAGAAACATACCCTTTCTCTTTCTCTCTCTCTCTCTCTCTCTCTTCCCTTCTTGCAAAGGCGCAATGCAAGGAAACCATCGCATTTATCCAGTTGTGCACTAAAATGCATCAATGCCAACACGCCTCCCCAAGTGTATCGCTGACCGAAATGGAAAATCAGAATTACCGAACCATTTGTCATGAATGTAGCCACTATCACGCATGGCAACTCCATGTATAATCTTTTTTTCACCCCAACAAAGACGCGTGTTGTAGGATGGACCATTTTTTGCGGATAAGTCGGTCTAGTGCAAACGTGTGTATGAAGTATAGTGGAGGAACTTTGATCCCAGATTCTCCGTGTCACACCGGACCCCGGCTCACGCCGTGAGAGCCCCTGACATGTGCAGGCATCCTAAGACGCTGAGTAGAATTGTGGCAAACCTTGCTGGTTGAATCCCATGGCTGGTGTAACTTCCTCTTGTACCCGATTCAGGTGCACTGGCTCTGCAAACCATTGTGCGCTCATCGATCGCCCTGACGAGGGCAAGGGTGGGCCGTAGTTTGGCATCGTATCGTATGAAGACCAGGCTGGGGGATAATACGAATTATTTGGCGCCATGGACGCTGAGAGAGGTGCGGCGCTTGAGCAGCCCAATGTGGTAGTAGCGTGTACGCCTGAATTTGTGTCTATTGTTGTCGAGTAGGGATATGGAGAGGTTCGTCGAAAGGTGTCGTTTTGGATCCCAAGGCCTTGGCCAGGATATTGCTGGAGGCCCTCAATGTTGCCATACGACATTGAGCGCGATGGTGGTTGGAATGATGGCTGTTGAGCCCAGTGGCCATCTTGGTGGCCGTAGGACATTGTCGAGCTTGTGCTCATAGCAGCTGGCGTATGGCCGCCTGAAACGTTGGATTCACTGCCGTAAGCAGAGTTGACCGTCGAGGGCGAGTGTCGCCATGATGGGCTTTCAGCCACTGTAGAAGACGGCAAAAAGCCGTTGGCTGGAGGCCACTGCGTGTCTATTGAGGGTGGGTAAGGATATGAGGGTTGCTGTACAGGTACTGCAATGGTTAGTGAGCTGCGCAAATGGCGGGTACACGACACTTACAGCCGTTTGAGCTAGGCACGTGGTGCGGGTCGTTTTCGAGCTCCATGGGGTATCCGTAGGTTAGAGGCTGCGCCGCCGACGGAGGAGGCCCCGAGAAGGGCGTACGGAAATCACCCATTGTGTCGCCAGAGGCAGATAGGGGGTGTCTAGGTGAGGAAGAGACCGGTGTTGCCGGCTGAACCGCGCTGCCCGACTTGGACGAGACTGACTGAGATGGCGGCATGTCAGGGTTGTGCTCTACGGGGTAGAAGTTGCATTCCTTCTTCAATCGAATGCAGTTGGAGCAGCGACCATGACGGTCGTCGGGTGCTAAGAGGCATCGAATCTTCCTCCGTCGGCAATGACCTGTGGTGTGACCAGTCAGTTAGCAACCCACGACGAACCACGGCAAGCTTTCTCACTCACCACAAGCGACTGAAGTGCGATGATAGCCGAGCTTGTTGCGCGGCTTGTTGTTTGTTGGCGAAACGTCGCCGGGGGTTCCAATAGCTAAGTGACGCATGTGTGGAGTTGACGAGGACTTGCGGAGCTCTCCAGCTGTCTTTGTCTTGAACGCGCGTCTCTTTTTACTCGAGCTGTTGTTGTTGCTGTGAGCTTGTGTGGCAGGATCCTGGCTAGTTAGGGTGCCTGTGAGGTGCTCGAGTCGATCTGTGGGGCTAGGAGTGGTGGTGGAGGTGGTAATATCGGCGGCATGGGAATGACTAAAGCCAGAGGGTTGGTCCGGAGGCGTCAGGGACATTGCGTCTTGAACGGGCTGTAAAAGCAGCGAGTGTTCAAGTCGAGAGATTGTCTTCTTTGCGCGGCGTTCTGTGACTACAGCCATGTGAGGCGTAATGTTGGCGTGGCAAGACCCGAGTGTCAGCGCTCCAAACCTGGTGGCGCATTGAAATACCTGAGGATATAAGCATCGAATGTTTAAAGTTCGGGGCAGCCCCACCGAGCAAGTGATGGACATGAAGCTAAACGGGGTTGTACATACCTAGAATGTCGGGCAAAGCGACTTCTCAAACGTTGTAGCCGACACGACGATGTTTTGTCTGCGGGAGTGGATGGCGGGACAGTTGCTGATCTACCGTGCCATGGGATTCGTGATCTAATCAATGCTTTCGTAAACGCACTGACAGCCGGGGCCGAGAACGGGGATAGACAAGGGCCTGGTAAATAAGACCAAGTAGTAGGAGGAGATGGTGAAGCAGTTGCGCACTGACACCAGTGACAGCTAATGTCAGTTAGTCGTTCGCATAGCCGTGGTGGCCTCAGCGGGGGTGCATTGAAGATGGTCAGAAGTAGCCGGGGCGCCAAAAGCAATGGGCGGCCTGCATACGACGAAGAGAAGTAGGGACTCGACCGAGCAAGAGTGGCAGCACTGGCACGTCGAAATTCAGACCATGCTGTTTGGTTGAATGCGTGGATGATTAAAAGTGGCGAGGCAATGGCCGCGCTACTACGCAACTGGACTGCTGCGTTAGGGCGCCTTTTCTGCACCAAAGGATTTCACAGGGTTCAACAACCCTCCTTCCTCACAAGCACAAGATCATCTTCTGGAGGCCAAGCGGCCAGGTTGCTGTTGGTGGGCCCGCATGGACCAAGTGATGTGCGGGATGGGTGGATGGGATGGATGGAAGGGGTGTGTGAGTGCGAGAAGCCCAGAGCGTCCAAGCGTCCATGACCTGGTGGCTCTCGGACCCTTCGCACTGTCCGCTGTTTGGGATACTTTGCCTGTCATGTCTCGACGGTGTGATGCGATGACAGCCAGCGGTAACCGCCTAGCGTCAGCGGCGGCGCGATCCACTTGCATCTGCGACGCTCGGAGTGGTGGTCAAGCCACCGTACGGACTACCAAGATTTAGTCGAGCAGGCTGTCGTGTCCGGTCCTGTCGTCGTCGTGTGTGTGTCGTCGGGAGCCCATGGCTAGCCGGGACATACATGTAAGGGTCAAAAGTCATGGCGGCATGCTGCGGGAGCCAGTAGGGCAGGCAGGCTACCTGAGGTTAATCTAGACGGGCTCTGTGCACGCGAACGTTGCCGGGGGAAAGGTTGGTTAGGCTAGGGCTGGGATTCCAGTCGCGTCCGAATCTAAAATGATGGAGGGACGGCGGATCAGAGGCTTGATGGAGAGACAGGGCCGAAGAGCCTGCTCCAGCTCGCTGACGCACACTCGAGCGTTTGGTTTGCGCAAATGAGGCCAGGCAGGAAGAGACGGTCGTGACGTGACCTGGTCGGTAGCGAATGTCCGCGGCGGTGATCCCCCGACGCTGGCGGCACCTCGTCGAGGCACTGTGAGCGATGCATGACACAGGGATAACGCCGACGTGAACTGCTGGCGGCGTCATGGTATGCTGGCCTCTGCGACAAATTGGCGGCGACAGCGCGTCCTTCTCCACACTGTTCATCTCGCTAGCAGGGCCCTGCCAGAGGCTCGACTCATCTCCACTCGCGTCATCGTGATTAAGGGCAATCAGCGTTTCCACAGGCGGGTTGCACAAGACCTGAGCAAGGGTGTATGTCACCGGCCAAGGTGAGCAAGTGGATTGCAGTACGTGACGATGGCCGCCAGTCGTCGGTTAATGCGCGCGAGGCCTGACCCAGCGCTGTGGCTATGGTCTCGGTGCATGACCTGCACTCCAATAGCCCGGACGGCAGTCCAAGCCTGGCGATTGCACGTGGGAGTCGCGATCTGATACAAAATCCTTTCGGCCTTTTTGAGGTGTCTCGATTTTTCCTCGCCAGCCTGGGCCCCCGACGGCGTGTGCACCACGACCACGACCACCACTGCCACCACTACCAACACAACGCTCACGGCATCAGCACGGCGCCTGCTATTCCCCGACGGCACCTGTGCAGCGCCTGTCGTCGTTGCTGCCGCCACCACCAGTGGGTGGGGGGCAAGGGTGTGTGCGTGTGCGCGCGTGTGCTGAGGCGCGGACGGTATCGCCTCTTTTTTCTGCGTTTATGCTTTTTTCATTGCGTCCCAAGTGTCTAGCGAGAAGGACTAGAGCAGCCCGGCTGGGCCAGCGACGGTTATGGCACCTTGTCGATAGAAGAGTATCCATGTAGCGCGTGCCCGGCGGGTGGTCAAGCCCTTCAGTCAGCATCAGTGTCTTGTGCCGGCGCCGGTCGCCTGTGCTAGCTCTGCCCATGGCTCGAGAGCATATTGGCTGGTTGGCGGGTGCGAATTTTTGTTGGACCAGGTGTCTGGTAATAATAGCTCAGGTTGGACTGGCAGTCGTCAGAGCCGGCTCGAGCATGGATAGCGCAGCCATTCGTGTATTCTGGCTAAATGATTGTTGTATCTGAAACATACCGGACTTCAACCGATCGCAGCAAAAGGCCACAGGAGCAGGCGTCTGGTGAGGGGGTCTGGGATACTGGGGCGCACGATCAGTAGGCTGGTGTCTGCGGCCGCAAACAGGCGAGAGGCGCTGGTTCCGCCCGTGAACGCACGCTCGAGCAGGCCTTGCTGCTTGCGTCCTTGATGCCGCTCTTGGCTCGCTTAGTCGCACCTTCCGCCCCTGGGGGTTTGCAACGCGTGCCTGCCACTTGCGGCGGAACAACAACGTGAGAGAATAGGGCAGGAGCGACCCACGCGCCGCGCCATGTGCGCGCGCCTTATCCTCGGCCCATCTGCCCTGTCCGATTGGCCGCGCCGCCCGCCTCGCCGTCGGCAGCCGCGTTGTCCAGAGGCACCGGCATTGGCCTCGCGCATCCTCGCCCACGCCCCTCGTCCCTCTCACCCCTCGTCCCTCGTCCCTCGCCGCCCCCCCCCTCGCTCGCACAAGGCGTCGTCGTGTGGGGTATCGCCACCTCTCCGTCTTACATACTGCGATAAACAGCCGGCCCAGGGCTGCCCGTCTTCGCACATGGCCTCCCCCCCTCCCCCAAATCCATGACGACGACGACTACTGCTATACAGCTCTTCCTCACGTCCGGCTGACCCCTCCCCTCCCCTGAGCGACGCTGCCTCGTCCTACCAGCGCCACAAGACCAAGCCTCTTACTTACCCCACGCGCCGTCTCCCGGAAATGTCACTCCTTCTTGTCCACGATATCATAGTACTAGTAGCGCTGTGCTACCCAGAGCACATCCAACCAACCACCCGGCTAGCCAGCTAGCCAGCCAACTAACCAACCACCCGCAGCTGCATGTCGCCCATGTCCACGTCTACCGACGCTATCTACCATCTGACTGACACGTGACCATACCTACACTGCTGCTAGGCTCCACACAACCCGGCCCCAAGTCTGCCCTCTAAACACAATCGCGCCAGCAGAAACACACACATACGCACACGCACACGCACACAACTCTCTCCAGCCCTTTCGGCTCTTCGGCTCTTCGGCTCTTTGGCTCCATTGGATGACCCTGCATCCTCCGTTCCGCTACCTCGTACATATCCTGTTCGTTCCTGATTTACGCCGGTTTTCACCATCCTTGCCGCCCAAGTATACATGTACACTCGTCGGATGCGTCCAGGGCATATTATTGCTGCAAAGAGCTGGTTTCAGACACATCTCATGATCTTACCACCGCTGTGTCCGAGATCAACCGGGTAACGATGCCTGCTAGTCATCACGGCCAAGACTCTCAATTCAGGGTGTATCTTGGACAGGCCACCGAAGCTTGGAGCATGTACATGCCCCAGGCACAGCTCGCTTGCAAAGTTTCTGCTCGAGTTGCGTACAGCCACCCGAACTGGTAGCTGCTTGGGCCCAGCTTGATTGAGGCCCGAAATGAACATTCCATGCCATCCATCATCCCTTGCGCTAATTAGGGCACCACGCGTGCAAAAAGGCTTACTGTGTCTTGGCTCTGTCTATAGTTGAAACTCTGGTTTGAGTACAAGTTGCATACCTGTCAGCCAGAGACTCGTTCCGGATTTCTGGAGATCAACATTTAGCCGACTAGTGTCCGCTTTAACAAACCCAATCAAGGATCTTCAGGAGTTCCAACTGGTTCCTCTAGGTGTGCGAGCGCCGCACAAAACTCGTCCGGACACGAATGGCTCTTCATCCATACGACTCTCCGAGTAAGCGCGCTTCTACGTTGGCCGTTTGGCCAACGCCCACTACCGACTACCCGCAATTCAATCGATCTCCGAGTCGCAGCATCTACGGAACCTTCTCCGCGCGTCACTTGTTGCTCGCAAGAGTCAGACGCCTTCCACCGTCGTTTGCATTACCAATAAAGTTTGGTCGTTCTGGACGGCGCCTGCTCTGGTGCACGCCTTCGCATGCATGTATGCCAGTGTGTATCATTAGTGTCCGTGTAGCCTCACTCGCTGTTCACGGCGAGAGAGCACGACGACTTGTTTAGTGATGATTGTCCCTCAGCACACGTACCGAGATCGTCCGGCAGATGTTAGCCTCTGCTTTGAGACATGCACTACAGCCCAAAGACGCTGCGTTCCCACCAATGATGACGCTGACTGGTTCTGGCCTCTGGATATCGCTCAGACTTCTCCATTGTTTTGCCCACAGAGTCGGGGCCTACGAAAACCAACCGGCAATGACTTCCATCCACTCGTATACTGTATGCATCTGACTCGGCAGACGGTACACCCTGGGGCCTGAATCGCAAGTCGGCCAGGGATTCTATAGGACAAGAGAGGCACCGCCTGCCCATTGCCGGAATTGTAGAAGATGGTGCTTTTTTGGTGCTAGTATGACAGAAACTATGTCTTCCCTGGATTCCTCAGGTCGGGTAAATATTCCGCGCTACTGGTAGAGCCTCCGATCCGAGCCCGGCACTTCAGCTGGGCTCGCTTGCACACCCAAGTGCCATGATTCGCTCCCATTACTCTGTTTGGGCTAGCAGTTGCGTATC